TTTTTTTTTTTTTTGAACGGCATCATATGTGGCAACTAGTATTCTAACTTTCAAACTTTACAATTTTGCATTTTGCCTTTTCACATTACCTGACAGCATTGTAGTTGTTTTGTAATCTTTAGATCAGTTGGCTACTATAATATCCAAGTTAGGTTAATCTTGCATATTGTTAACAAAGACATTACATATTTTTGCATTTTTTTTAGAGAAATGTATGTTGCAATTGTTGGAGTTAATCCCGATTTTGAAGCTAATTGTTTTGAATGAGGCCTAGTTAGTGGAGTTTATGTGTCCTACTATTGTGGTTGCTGATAGCCACGTTTCCTTATCTTTAAGTTTCAGTTTGTAGTGGCTAGAAAATAGGAGTTTATGCTTTATTAGCCTATTATAAATAGGCAGTTGTTATTCAGTTTAATGTGTATTCATCTTTATCTATTTCCAGCAATAGAATTGCCTCTTTCTTCCTCTGTTCTGCTCTGTTTTTGGTTGTTTTGCTTTTATCTCTTTTACTACTTCAATTGGTATTAGAGCCTTACACAATGAATGGCTCAAATCAGATTTCAATTCCTATCTTGGATGGGAAGAATTACAATAGGTGGAATGTCCAAATGAGGGTGCTTTTCGATTACCATGAGTTGCTAGGTGTGGTGGAGACTGGAGTTGCTGAACTTGCAGAAAATGCAAATGATGCCCAAAAGCACGCCCATCATGAGAGCAAGAAAAAGGATAAGAAGGCGTTATATTTCATCCATCAAGGGGTGAATGATGAAGTGTTTGAGAAGATTCAAGATGCAACATCATCAAAGCAAGCATGGGATGTCCTGATGACGGCGTACAAAGGTGTGGAGAAAGTTAAGAAGGTAAAACTCCAAACCTTAAGACGCCAATATGAGCTCCTACAAATGGAGTCTTCTGCAACTACCACCACTTATGTTAGTCGAGTTCTTGCTTTGACAAATAAAATCAAAATTTATGGAGAGGAGTACACAGAGCAGACTAAGGTGGAGAAAATCTTCTGGCACTCACACCAAAATTTGAGCACATTGTGGCAGCATTAGAAGAAGCCCATGATTTGTCCCAAATGACTGTTGAAGAGTTGTCAAGCTCATTAGAAGCACATGAGCAGAGAATGAATGAGAAACGGACAGAGAAGCCGTTTGAGAAAGCCTTCCAAAGCCAAGTTTCCATCAAAGGTGATCAAGGTGGTGAAACAAGTCAAAAACATGGTGGTTCTCGTGGTAAAGGATAAGGACATGGTGTTTACTTCAACAAAGGTCGAGGTGATCATAACAACAATTATGGAGTAGGTGGTGATGACTAAGAAAAATCAAACTTTGGCCATCGATATAATATAAGAGGTCGTGGTCATGGTCATGGTCGAGGACGTGGTAGAGGAGGGTATGACAAATCTCATGTTGAGTGTTATTCTTGTCATAAACATGGTCATTATTCAAGTGAGTGCAGATATAAGGAGAATGATCAAAAGGCTCATTATGTACAAGAGGAAGATGACAGTGAAGATCATGCTCTTTTGATGGTTACATCAACAAATGAGGCATCAAATTATAACACATGGTTTCTTGACACTGGATGTACTAATCATATGTGCGATAAGAAGGAGTTCTTTGTTGATCTTGATGAGTCATATTGATCCAAGGTCAAATTTGTAGATGAAAGCACTGTACCAGTGATGGGAAAAGGGAGAATCCTCATCAAGTTGAAGAATGGAGATCATAATTATATTTCAAACGTGTTCTATGTGCCGGATATGAAGAGCAATCTGCTTAGCTTGGGTCAATTGCTGGAAAAGGGTTATAATATGCTCCTACATGATAATCAACTCTCCATTTTTGATGTAAAAGGTACACTTATTCTTAAGGCTCCTCTATCAAAGAATTGTATGTTTCAAGTTGACATTGCCAGTGAGGTTTACACTTGCCTTAGTGCTGTTTTAAAAGCTGATTCTTGGTTATGGCATCTTCATTTTGGTCATCTAAACTTTTATAGTTTGAAGTTGCTTGCTTAAGAAAATATGGTGAAGGGCTTGCCTAGCATAAATCATCCAGAGCAATTGTGTGAGGCTTGTACTCTTGGAAAACACAACAGGTTACCATTCGTGGCTGGAAAGAATTGGCATGCAAGAAAGCCATTGGAACTGGTTCATTCTGATGTTTGTGGCCCAATGAGTGTTACATCAACTAGTAACAATAGGTATTTTCTTACCTTCATTGATGATTTTACTAGAAAATTTTGGGTCTATCTTCTGCAAAATAAGTCTGAAGTATTGAGTTGTTTTAAGAAGTTTAAGGCTCATGCTGAAAGACAAAGTGGTCATTGTATCCAAATCTTACGAACTGATGGTGGGGGTGCATATACCTCCAATGAATTTCATGAGTATTGTGGAGAACAGGGTATACAACATCAAGTTACATGTCCCTACACTCCATAGCACAATGGAGTTGCAGAGAGGAAGAACAGAACCATAATGGACATGGTGAGGAGCATCTTAAAGGCCAAGGGAATGCCAAATTCTTTTTAGGGTGAAGCTGTTTCCTATTTTGTTTATTTGTTAAACATGTCTCCAACAAGGAGTCTTCAAAATGTTACTCCCGTAGAAGCATGGAGTGGTTTCAAGCCAAGTGTGAAGCATCTTAAGGTGTTTGGCGCTATTGCGTTTGCTCATGTGCCGGCACAAACAAAGACAAAGCTAGATGATCGTGGAGAGAAGACCATCTTTGTTGGCTATACTCGTGGAGGATTCAAGCTGTTTAATCCTGTGACTAATAAGGTGATTGTAAGTAGGGATGTGACTTTCACAGAAGATGAAGCTTGGAGGTGGGATCTGGATACAAACAATGACTCCCAAAGGCGATTTGTCACTATTCTTGAAGAAGATTCTCAAGTTACAACAACCAATACTAATGAAGAAGCTGCTGCACCAAGTTATACTACACTAGAAAATCCCATGACACAGACTCTTCTTAAAGCTAGAAGACCAAGGGGATAAAGACAACCACTAGTTACTTTAAAGGATTATGAGGTAACATCCGATGATGCTATTGATGATGATGGAAATCTGGTGCACTTTGCCATGTTTGCAGATTTAGAACCCGTACTT